CCCCCATGAATCATTACACCAAAGCAGGAAGGATAAAATCACAAAGAGTGGGTCGAGTAATACAACGACCCAACTATGAACCGACGACCAACAGACCTAAAGCCTCGATCCGACCCAAGTATGAACCGTCGATCGACGGACCCAGAGCCTTGATTCAACCCAAGTACGAACCATCAATTGACGGACCCAAAGCCTCGATCCAACCCAAGTACGAACCGTCGATCGACTTACCCAGAGCCTCGATTAGACCCAAGTCCGAACCATCGATCGACGAACCCAGAACCTTGATCCGACCCAAGTACGAACCGTCAATCGACGAACCCAGAGCCTCGATCCGACCTAAGTACGAACCGTCGATCGACGGACCCAGAGCCTCTATCCGGCCCAAGTCCGAACCGTCGATTGACGGACCCAGAGCCTTGATTCGACCCAAGTATGAACCGACGATCGCTGGACCCAAAGCCTCGATCCGACCCAAGTACGAACCGTCGATCGAAGGACCCAGAGCCTCGATCCAACCCAAACACGAACCGTTGATTGACGAGCCCAAAGCCTCGATCTGACCAAGTACGAACCGTTGATTGACGGGCCCAGAGCCTCGATCTGACCAAATATGAATTATCGATCGACGGGCCGAGAACTTCGATCCGACCCAATTACAAGTTGTTAATCGACGAACTCAGGACTTCGACTCGACCCGAGGGGCTCAAACTAATCAAAACGAGGAGTAAATGATAGGACTTGCCTCGTTGTCAGGGGGAATACAGAAAGGACTTTGGATTGGAGGAAATAAATCTAGTCAAGTCTTGCAAAACAAGACCCAAGTCAAGGATCAGAGTGAGAGATAACCGGAGTAAAAGTTGCTGCCGTTATGCTTAAATCCTGCCTAGGTCATTTAAGGGAACGTTACACTCGTTTAGAGGATTCTGAAAGATAGGAGTTAGGGCAGCGTGATTTTAATGATTGCGTGAGTCTTACCTTATTTGGAAGAAAACCCAATAAGTGCTAATTAAATCCCCTTCACTAACTTAAGGCTATAAATGGAAGAAAGTTAGGGCAGGCAAAGACAGAAAAACAAGAGGCTCCTGGTATCATCTCTCCTACCATCATTCCAATCCTTGATTTCGGGCTAAATTTCTCTCCCTTCTTTTGCTCTTCTGCTTTCCTCACATTGTTTTGAGTGATATACCCTAGGTTCAATTGACTTTTCAACAATGTTCCTAGGAATCAATACCTACATTTTGGCGACTCTGCTGGGGAATATCCTAGCAAAAAGATGAATCCAGAAGAGATCCAACCCCTACCGTCACAAGCAGAGGTATTTGCCGTTGGGGCTACCAGCGCCAGAACCACCAGCGCTAGATCCCGTTCCTCAAGGTCGAGACACAGGTCTAGCACAGATGCCATCTTAGAAACAATGCAGAACATTAACCATCATCTTGTTCGCCAATTTCCATACCCTAATCACCGAGCAGCAACCATCTCTTGTTACGATGAACTCGAAGAAACAAACCCAGATCAGAACGTCGGACCTTCTTCATCAGAGGCTAATTTTTGTTTAGTGGTTGCGGCAGCTAAATCCACACCATTTGGTAATAAGAAGGTAATCACCTTCACTGATGCCGATAAATAGAGCCAAGGCGCCCAAAATCAACCACTGTAAGTTCTCGTTACAATTAAGGGAGTAGAATTCAAGCGTACATTTCTGGATAATGGATCGTCTATCAATGTCATGCCTCTGTCCACCATTCGCAAGGTAGGAATTGTGATACCCCTCGTTTCTAGAGCCACGGGTGATCAAGTTCGAGCACAGATCCGAGGGATATCAGACAATCAATATATAAACAAGCAGGAATAAAAACTGAATTAAGAATAAATTAATAATACGCTGAAAGAAATCTAAAATAAAAATCCTCAAACTTTAAATAATAAATTAATATCATTTAAATCCTTCAAATCCATACAACTTGGGAATCCATCTAGTGGACCCCTAATAATCCCAAACGATAAATAAATTTACAGAATTAAAACCAAAACTAAAATAAGAAAGAACATCATATGTAGTCGGAAGAGTGAGTAACAGTCTCTGCTCAGCACGATCAAGTCTACGACTGGAACTGTCGAACACCTGAAAAATAGAAGTGGGTCAGGCCCACGAACAAGTTCTATCCTACAACAATCCAAACAGAGACTCGATACGCATGTACATCCTAACCAATTCAACAATAACTAATAGTCCGTAGATATATATATATATATATATATATATATATATATATATATATATATATATATATATATAATCACACTACAGGACTCTCACTAGACTACAGGCCCATCTCAACCTGCCTAGTAGGCACCATGCAAAACGCACCTGAGGTGGGCATGACTACCTAGACCTAGTAGGGTACACATCTAACCATCATAGCCAGCTATGCATTCCAATGCATATACGCTCCTTAGCTAATGACTCTGAGACTCAGGCTCATATCGTGGCACCATAAAAATAGATTTAAATTCCATCAGAATCCATAGTAGTGCCGCTCAACTAGTTGTTGCCATGACACTACAAATTCATAGGATTTAACTTTTAGTTAATCCATTCCTTAATCCAGAATAGGTAGTACTTAGCGTTCTTTTTGAGCTAATCCCCCTAGTATGTCACCATCCCATACCGGTGCACACAAACCATCCATTCAGCATTGATAATATATATATGACAGTATAACATATCAATATCAACATATCCAATCATAAGCATACAAGAATGTTTAACCAGCATGCTTGTTCAATACATCCAGTACCCGATTCTCTAACAAATTTTAAATGCAGCGAATAAATATAACCATCCTGTAACTTACAATAAGCATAATAATAATATTAACAGTGTTTACATGCTTACTTGTGATTACTCCACAACATCCCACAAGTTAACATAAACAATTCTCGGTAAACATCAACGAGTTTCTTATTAAGCATTAACTGAATTTATATTAGTTAACAGGCTTAATATCTTACCACTGTTATATGATTTACATATCAAACTCCTAATTCAATTGCTAAATTTAAAAATAAGCAACTTGAATTGTCCGTAAAAATATCGTCACACAACTTTTTTAAGTGTTCCCGACCGTTCCTACCTATGCATAACAGAAAGTTATCATACCTGACCTGCTTATTTTTCATAATACTGTGATAGGATTTAAACCTCAAATACGTTAAATCAATTGCTAATTAAATATGAGCAACTTGAATCATTCACATCCCAACCAATGTAGCAACTTTCTAAGGAGTCTCCTACTATGTCCTACCTTTGCTTCCTAGGATTTATTCTGTGTTACCATAACTTCCAAGATGTCAATATGAGTTTAATCACAACTGAACAACCCTAGAACAACCCCTAAATAAAACTGGAATTATTAAAACCCAACCACAATAGCCCATACACACGTAGAAAACCAAAAATTGCAAAACCTTTTGAAGGAGCAGGCTCCAACCAAGTTGGAGCCGCCTCCAACCCACTTGGAGCCGCCTCCAAACCACTTGGAGCCCCCTCCAAGTCATTTTGAGCCTGCTCCAAAACCTTTTGGAGCCGCCTCCAACTTCCTCTCCCCCCTATTTGCTTCTTCTCTCCAACTGTGTCCTCTCCGGCGACGACCAGTTCATCCGTCCTAAATTACAAAGGCTACTACTGGTTAAAGTTATGTCCCAGTGTGATCTAAAGACAGTTTAATACCTTAGTCATTCACCGACAACAATCAAAACAAGAGTTACGTAACAGGAAGTTAGAACGAGCAATTTACCATTCAAGAACCCACCCTGTTTTAAGTGAATCAATTATGTGAACCAGAGTAATATTAAAACTTCCTAGAGTGTTATAAACTAATTCAATTCTTTATAGATCAGTTTACATGAATTATACATCCAGTTACACGAATTAATTTATGAGTTTCTTAAACGAAGGATTATATAACAAGCAGTAACTCATGGCTACGTTCAGTTTAAATATAATAGAGATATGCAACCCAGTTTACTTTTAATCCTTATACATTCCTGGAATTGTGTTAGATATGCAAAAAACACGAGCTTAAGGGAAAGAGTTAGGAATAGAACTTGCCTTTGAGGTTTGGGTTCAAAACCTCTGCGTTGTCTTCCTAAATTCTCCGGTGACTCCTACTGTCCTCAACTCCTCTATTTCCTCTTTGGTTCAACACACGAACAAACACTTCTTTACCAAACCCTAGGTTTCCTCTCTGTTTTCCTCTTAAACCTCTCTCTGTTTTGCTCTGCCTCCAAGTACATGTATAGGGTTCTAAAACCCTTGGCAGATTATATATGTATATATATATAGGCTTATGAAAAACTCAACCCTAATTCTAATTGTAATACAAGAATACAACCGAAAAAATAATTAATTCTATACTAAGTCGGCTATATAAAAACGTGACTACCCAGAAACAAAACCCTAAATAAACAATTGAAACAAATAAAACTAATTTAATTAAACAACCAATTAATCAACCAATTAAATTAAAACAAATAAACAATTAATTTAAATAAAGTTAAATCACAATTAAATAATTACAGCAAAAAAAAAATCCACAATTAAAGCAAACCAAATAAACCATTTCAATTAAACACTTAATCAATTAAGCAACAAAACACATAAGTCACATAATTAAATAAAAATGCGATAAAAATCAAAATTAAATTCTCATTTTATCCTTTTGAAAACTAGGGGTATTACAGGAATTCCTGAGGATCGCCTGGTCAAGGAGTCCGTTGAAGTAGCAGGATTTGGCAACGATCTTCGCTGAATGATGGGTTACGTTAATGTCGATTTAGCTGTCAATAAATTCCAAGCCTCTACCAAAGTCCATGTCATCGATAGTGATACATCTTATCATATCTTATTGGGACGCGCATGGATGCATCGCTTTGGCATTGTCCCTTCTACTTACCATCAATGCTTCAAAGGAATTTAGAACAACAAAGTGGTCATGGTCCTTTGCTCTGATCGTCTCTTTGCCACCTTTGAAGCCCATTACACCGATGCATTATTCTTCAACGAACTTGATGACTGTGCACAAGACTGCGACCCTACCATTATCAGCACTCCCTTACCTACCTGGGCTGATGCCCAGAAAGGCATATTCCACCCACCAGCTCTAGTTCAGACCAGCGACCCGTCTCCTCAATGGTCTTGTCATCTACCGTTTATGAAGCTGCCCGGGGTCAGTAGAGGTTCACTCTACTGCCCCCCAGAGTACCAACCTCGGATCCTTGAGAAAGCACTGCTGCCGGACCTTGTTGAAGTTAATCTTGCCCGTCCCAACGAGCAGCCTCGCATTACGTTCCTCTCGAGTACCCTCAACTCTCAAAATCATTCTCACCTGTCTCTCTCATACAGGAATTTCACGATATCTTTTCATAGACATACAGTGAAATGCCGGGTCTCCATCCTTCATTGGTATCGCACTACCTTAACGTCTTACCCAATGCTCGACTGGTTAAGCAGGGCTCGCGCACATTTCGGCCAGAACTTGAACTGCAGATCAAGGAGGAGGTCCAAAAGTTACTAGATGCAGGTTTTATTAAGCCTATCATCCACCCCACCTGGTTGGCCAATATCGTCCCAGTTCAAAAAAAGAACCGCCAGATAAGGGTGTGTGTCGATTTTCGAGATCTCAACAAGGCATGCCCCAAGGATGATTTCCCCTTGTCCATCATTGACACCCTCATCAATGGTACTGCAGGTCATGAAATGTTCTCTTTCATGGATGGCTTTAGCGGTTACAACCAAATTCGTATGGCTACTGGTGATGCGGAGAAAACAGCCTTTTGAATGCCCCTTGGTAACTTCCACTATACTGTTATGCCCTTTGGTTTGAAGAATGCAGGTGCTACTTATCAGCATGCAATGACTGCCATCTTCCATGACCTACTTCATCACAATCTCGAAGATTACGTGGACGATCTGCTTATCAAATCCAAAAAGGCAACTAACCACTTTTCTGACCTGCGGCAGGTGTTTGAGCGTTGCCGACAATACAATCTGAAAATGAATCCAATTAAGTACGCTTTCGGTGTGAATCATGGTAAATTCTTAGCCAAGTCTAAAGCAATCATTGATATGCCTTCACCAGCGACTCCAAAACAGTTGAAAAGTTTCTTGGGAAAAGTCTAATACCTTAGGTGTTTTTTGCCTGCTCTCGCCGAGGCAACACATGCCTTTAGCACCCTAGTCAAGGGAAAAACAAAATTCTCTTGGACAGACACCCACCAGGAAACTTTCGAACGAATCAAACAAGCATTGTTGTCTCTACAAATCATGCATGCCCCGCAAAATGACCAACCCCTTTTCTTGTATATTACCTCTACTCCTCGATCTATAGGAGCATTGCTGGCATAAAAGGTCAATGGTCAGGAGCAACCGGTTTACTACATTAGTCGTTTGATCCGCGATGCCGAAGAGCGATACTCTATCATTGAAAAGCACTGTCTTGCCCTGGTTTTAGCAGCACATAAGTTCCGACATTATTTTCTTGTTCATCGTATCATCCTACTCACCAAATGCGATCCCTACAGGCATTTTCTCTCCAAACCTATGCTAACAGGCAAGACTGCGCGATGGCTTCTTTCTGTAATACCCCTAGTTTTAAAAAAAAGTATAATTGGAATTTATATTATTTATTTTATTAATTTTAGTTGTTTATGTGGCTATGTGGTTAGATGTTTGTATGATATATATGTAATTGAATTAATTGTTTAATTTTGTGTGTGCTTAAGTGTTGTGGTTGCATTAAGTGTTGAATGAGATTATTTGTTATTTGATTTTGATGTGACTTTGATTTTATCTTATTTTGTTTTATTTATTTTTAGTTTAAATTAATGGATTTGGATCGTAGTAATGGACCAAGAGTGGGTCTCATGGACTACTTGAATAGAGGTTGCACATGGGTACGAGTAATTCCCATATATGGTTGGTGGTTTATATACATACTCGCATATATATATATATTGGCGAATATAGATTGTTATTATTGTTGTTATTTATTTTGATGGTGATAATAATAATAATATGTTACTAGGTTATATATATATATATATATATATATATATATATATTAATGTGAAATTATATGTATATAATTGGTTAAAACGTGTAGGGCAGTCTATATAGATATAATTATATTTTTATTTTATTTTTCTTTCCTTTTATTTTTAGCCGACTTAGTTATTGGTTTGGAGTTAGGGTTTTATTTAACCTATATAAATATATATGATGGTCTGCAATAGGGTTTTGAAAACCCTTATAGCAGCAGCAAGGGACGAGAAAATACAGAGAGGTTTTTGAGATAAACTGAAAGAGAAGAAGCTAAGGTTTTGGTCAACAAATTAGGCCGAACCAAGGACGAAGGTTGAGGGCTGTTCGAGGGTTAGAACCAGAGCGGAGGAGTCCTTGACGGTAGTCTTGATCGCGGGAAAAAAAAAACTTAAGAAGACGGTGACGAGGTTTTTATTCAAAAACCACAGAGGCAAGTTCTATTTTGTCTCTCTCCCCTTGGCTTGTGTTCTGTGCATACGTAGATGATCTCTAGGAATTTAATGGGACATTAATTGAATCTTGTATGTGTAATATATGTTAAATTGATTATCTGTTATATGGTTAATTTTATCTGAAATAATTCTTGCAAGTTTGGAAGCTCGTCCTTTGTTTTTAAAGCATAACAAATTGGTATTGTTTTAATCATGGAATTAATTCCTACTGTTATAAACAAGGGACTGGGATGATACTGAATAACTCTAGGACTTAGTTAAAACCATTAAAGACCTTAACATAGATGAACGAAATCATCGAAAGTTGCCGGGGATGAAGCAGAAGACACGTAGTAGGCAAAGAGGCGGTTCCTTTAGCAAGGAAAAGGCTCTTTAATAAAAGAGAAGGCTCTATGATAAAAGAGAAGGCTCTGTGATTTGAATGAGAAGGCTCTTTGATAAAAGAGAAGGCTCTGTGATTTGAAGGAGAAGGCTCTGTGATTTGAAGGAGAAGGTTCTTTGATAAAAGAGAAGGCTCTGTGATTTGAAGGAGAAGACTCTTTTGATTTATTACGTACTGAAGTGATTTTGGGCAATTTTGGGCATTGTTTGAGCTTCCAGAACTGTTCTGGAGTATTTATAAGTGTGCGAAATATTAATTCATGGTGTAACAAAACCCTTGGATGCCTAATCTTGATTCCTATGCTAATAATTTTGGACGTAGCGAAGATTAAACAATCTTCCCTACGGTTAACGAATAGGAAGGATTAAGCTGTTTAATCTAGTTTTAATATATTACGGACTGTAGCATGGATTCTAAACAAGATATTATGCTGTATTAGAGGCCACATTGAATAATTAATGTCTTTGTGCTCATGGATTTAACTGTAGGAAAGTTTAACCGATTTTGTATACTGTTAACTAGATAGCAGGATTAAATTGTTTAGTGTTATGTTAACAATTTAACGGACTGTAAAATGATTTATGAATTATGTTTTGGATGAATAATAGGGTCTTTTACAGATTAGATTTTGTTATGATTCTCCTGGATTTAATTGAAGAATTAATAAATTATTTTCTGTCAATTACATGGATGATGGTCTGGTTTTTAATTGAGGAATTAATAAATTATTTTCTGTCAATTACATGGATGTTGGTCTGGTTTTAATTGAGGAATTAATAAATTATATTCTGTTAGTTACATGGATGGATTCTGGATTTTATCTTTGTCTCGTCAATTACATGGATTTTATTATGCATTTTTAGTTGATGAACTGTTTCAATTATGTTTTTATCAGCTATATGGATTATGTAATACCCCGATATTTTAATGGATTTATTAATTAGAATTAATTGCTTTTATTTTATTTTTAAATAATTTATTTGATTTAATTTGAATTAATTGCGTTTATTTTAATTTTTAATTGATTTGTTTTATTGAGTGCTTAGATTAATTGTTTTATTTTATTTATATTTCGTGAATTATTGATATGATGATTGTTGTGTGTGTGCTTAATTATTGATTGAATTGTTGGCGTGTTGATTTTATTGGTATGGTATGACTTGGTTGTAATTTATTGTTTTGTTTATATGCTTAGTGTAATTAGTTTTTAATTTAAGTGTTTATTTAATTATTTGGTTTATTTAAATTAATTGGTTTTGGGCTTAAGGTAAGTTGGACCAAAAGATGTGGTCGTGGGCTTGTATGAAGCCTTATTGGGTTAATTAATAAAGGCACATGGTTATTTAATTATTTAAATGATCATTTTTGTATTAGTTATAAATATATATATATATATATAATTATATATAAATATAATTAATTAATAATTGTTATGGAAAGATATATATATAGATATATATTTATTGATATATATATGTATATATAATTTAATTAACCAATGGGTTAATTATGGAATGTGTATATATATGTGTATATATATATATATGTATGTAATATAATATATGTTTATAGATATAAATTATTTAAAGATTATTATTTTAATTCATAATCCTAGTTGGAATATGATTTGGATTTTAATGTGTATAAATATACACATAAGGCTTTAGGATTAAAAGTTTACACGTTAGAAAAATAAGAGAGACAGAAAGAGAGAAAAAAAGAGGAGGCCGGATTAGATTTTGAGGACGTCAGAATTGGAAGAGACAATCAAAGCTTGAAGCGTCGGTTTCGTTTTGAGACCTTCAGGCGAGTTCTTCTCTATCTTTCCTCTTAGAACTTATAAGGATTTCACCTTGAGTATCAAGGTTTTAATTAAATTATTAATTTAAATCGTGATTAGAACAGATTAATCAAAGAATTAATATTATTTTATTTGATTAAATCGTGGTTAGATCGGATTAATTAAAAGAATGAGTTATTATATTTTATTTATTTTTTAACTTTGGACTTTAAATTATTGATGCAAAAGTTGTATTTATTTTAAAAATCAACTATTATGCTTGATCTTTGACCCAAGGGGGTCATTTATGGTTCTGGAATTTCTGAAATTTTTTATGGATTTTTTTTGAAATTTTCTGGTAAGTTTCTAAATTTTTAGGAAAATATTGGAATTAATTTTTCTATATTTTTGGTTGGAAAATTTATATATATACATATACTGTTTTATGTATATATATATATGTGTGTGTGTGTGCGTGCACGCGCGCGCAATTGAGGTCTGTGAATCGGCGCAGTAAAGAAGGGTGGATAATCGAGTGTGGTAGCGAGCATAGTAGATAGGTGTATATGCGGATCTGGGCCGCTGATTCATTAGGCTGATGATTGAAATGATCCGGTGTATTGATAATCACAGTAGTATGGTGCGCCCATGTTTTGGAGGGCTGAGATGCGCTGATGGGGAGCGGCTGATCCAGTGCAGGTGCGCTCACGTAGTAGAGAGGAGAGTAGCGAACCAGAGTACTCCACATCAACCAAAAAAGAAGGAACAGGCGCGTGACAGTGCGTGTACCGCGCGTGGGCGCGCGTGAAGACAGCTGTCAGCTAGGGGTGACGCGTGGAAGCGCGTGAGATGTGTTTGGCAGAGTGTGGCGGCGCGTGGGAGTGCGTGCAGTTGTGTTTGATGCCCCGGGAGGTTGCTGTGGAGTCCATTGATATCCCAGAATTGACTTCAAGCTTGTTAATGTTGACATTTATTAGTAAATGAGGTGTTTTAGGTGTTTGAGGGCTGTAGAATGCTATTACGATATTTTTAGTTGCATTTATTCGCCTAATATACTTAATTAATATTACGAGACGGAAGGAAGTGAATACACACACAGATATATATATATAATTGCATATGT